GCAATCCTGGATACAGTGGAAATGGGACATACTGCCAAGGTAGGATCTGTGTCAACCTGTTCGGCCTGCACTGAAATGTTTGTGCTTCGAGCCGCCGACTTGAACCTGCCTTGTTGTCCATTAGACTTCACTGCGATTGGTTCGGCCACTAACTCCGAGCTCCGCTGAACATGACAGTCACGGCTAGAAATGAGATGATTGGCGATGAAGGAATTACACTGAAAGATAATGGAGTTGTTTTCAAGTGATATTTCCAGAACGGAACAGAATTTTCGAGTGACTACACGGATGACCTTTTCCGGCATCACATCGCAGATTCAAAAACCACAGCGACTCGCAGCAAGCTGCGATGCATACTAGCTCCCACAGTCAGTAAAAGTGATGCCGTGACTACCGTATTTCCCTGATTATAAGTCACACTCGATTATAAGTCGCACCTCCATTTTCAGTTTTGAGCAATATTGTTGCGATGTATTCACTTCAGTAGTAAGTCATGCTCGGTTGTAAGTCGCACCCCCTTTCTTACCCTGAATTTTAGTGTAAAAAGGTGCGACGTATAATCGGGGAAATACGGTATGTCGTACACTCCCTGCACCTGTACAGTGCACAGACCTCGCTTTTTTTCTGGGGAAGGTGTGATTTCTAGTACTGTACCTGTGAACTCTGGCTGGTTTCGCTTGCACATACTGACTGTATTGCTGTCCTACTTGAACTACACGTACCACTTTGCGCGGCTTTGATTCAGTAAGTCCAGTAAGTTCATGTACTTTCCGTACTGACAAGCATCATCTTTCCTCCACGATCTCGGTGTAGGTCTTGTTGTTTTTTTCTTCTTTCTGGTTTACTTACCTCTTTCCGTGATATTATATTTTTTTGCTTGTAGCCAGTCGGTCTTCCTGGTGGTGAGGAAATTCTGGAATCACGTTCGTCCCTCTCTCTGACAATTGTCCAAGCTGTAGTTTTTGTCTAGTCTGGTTCTGCCTCCAACATGTCTATACGACAGAGTACCTTTGAGAAGTGGGTGGCAGAGGTCGATGTCGAGGAGAAATGCCTTCGTTCTGAGAAAGCTACAGGTGCAGCGGTGACGCTAATTTTCTGCCGGCTATGCAGACAGCACGAGTCCTCCCTCCGTGGATTGAGAATTTTAGTCGGTCTTTTGTGGACGGGATTTCGGGGACTGCTCTGAAGAGGGACAACGTGGTGAAACATTCGAAGTTGGATATGCATAGCAAGGCGGAATGAATGTCATTAAGCAAGTCCAAAACAATTGCGGAGATCTGCAAATCGACACCGATTGGCAAGGCAATGGCTGGCGTAACAAGCAAGGAGAGAAGCAGAGTCGCAGGAAGTCCCGCGATGTCCAGTGTCAAAACACCTATAGCAGAGGCCTGTCGTCTTCGCTGCTTCACACCGCCTGCTGTCTGACTCGCTCTTAACCCTCACTTCATGTTGACTTTTTTCCTACGTTCCCAGTATATTGGGGTCCTTTGGACCCGAGGAACGTTTTGGGTTGTATTCTTGCAAACTCTCCATTTCTTTTTGCTGTGCTACCTTCCCATAGACCAATGCTCTGACCAAACTTCATTTGTTGACAGCTCTGAAGTTTGAAATTGAAGACACCACTGCAGCTGTACTTATGGTTGATAAATATGATGGTAAAGACACACCTGGCAATATGGCGGTAAACACACGCCTGCCCGCACACGCTCTCTAGGCTGCAAAGTTCTTGCACAGAGCTCTCCTTCTCACCACCACCACCATCAGTTCGCGCCTGGCGCCTGGTCGATGCATGGCTGGCGGTATCCGGCATAGCAGGCTGGTACATCAAGTTGCGCATGGCACATAGATGATGACACAGCAACGACATAGCTCGATTGCGACGTACGTTTCGTCCCCGCTGGACTCATCAGGCAATCTTCTTCTTGGATGTCTTCATACGGAGCTTGACTCGGGAGAATGAAATTGAAGACACCACTGCAGCTGTACTTATGGTTGATAAATATGGTGGTAAAGACACACCAGGCAATATGGCGGTAAACACACGCCTGCCCACACACGCTCTCTAGGCTGCAAAGTTCTGGCACAGAGCTCTCCTTCTCGCCACCACCACCATCAGTTCGTACGTCGCAATCGAGCTCTGTGCCAGAACTTTGCAGCCTAGAGAGCGTGTGTGGGCAGGCGTGTGTTTACCGCCATATTGCCGGGTGTGTCTTTAGCTCTGAAGTTTGTCGGGATTATTAGAAAATTTGCAAGAATACCGCCCAAAACGTTCCTGGGGTTCAAAAACATAGGAAAAAGTCAACATGAAATGAGGGATTATTGCTGAAGAAGCATTTTCTTGTAGGGCATCATACTACTAATGAATGTCATCCATGTATTCGATGACCATGGAGATGAATGCCGAAACTGTCGCAATTGTTGTACTTCCCTGTGCTCTATGTTACTGGGGTCTATTTGGACCCCGCCCTCAGTTTCCGTCATAAAAGTGAAATCCATCATGAACCTCTAACCCAGACTATTATTTTATTTATCTCGGTTATTGTGTTGTTGAGAAATACATGAGGTTTCAGGGAGATGTGATGCAGCAAAGTAAAACTATTTCAAAAAGCATGCCCCTGGTGTCCGTTTGGACCCCACAACCCGGAATGAGGGTTAAAGATGCCATGTGTGATGGGACGCAACACAAACTGAACACACTGGATGTTGACAGCACCCTGACCAGAGGCCAGGAATGACTAGTAATGAGCTCCGGAGCTGCGGCCGAACGTTGACCGACTTGCATGTTTTGATTTAGTAGGCAGTGCCGCTGCATGATAAACATCTGCAGAACTGACTCCGTGGACCATATCCGCTGCTCCAGAACGGAATTCTGCTTCGAGGGTCACCCATTCCGACAGTGTTGGTACACTGATTGGTTTAGCGTTGTTGCGATGCCTGTGTCAGCATGGACATCGGCAGCTTGTTTTGCATCTGTCGAAACAGAAGTCCATCGCCAAGCTCGTAGCCCTTGCCTATATTCACCATGTTCACCATCAACACATCCGGCAGATTGTCAAATCTCTGCAGTTCTCCAGGCTGGTCTGTCGGGAGGCGGTAAACGACACTATTTCCTCAGAATGGATGTTACTGCGCATTTTGGGAATACCAGTGCATCTCTCAGGGCGGTGTTTGACAAGCGTTCTGAGAGCAGTAGCATCACCAGTCCAGGCTGGATCGCCCCGAAAGGTTGTGCAGTGTACTGTGTTGAGAGAAGGAGCTCCGTTGAGTCATGCTAGTTGAAAATAAATCATCTACGAATGCAGAAACAATTTCTCCAAACAGAGAAGAAGCCTTCTTGCTGCCGACACGGCAAAAGCAACTCTGACAAGGACTAGTCGAGTGCAATCAGCTGATTTGTCTGGCCATGATAATCACAGCATGCATAAGCTAACAACTTAGTAGTCATCTGAGCGAGAGTGAATCTGACGCGAGAGTGAATCTGACACAAGCAGCGCTGAGATGAACGAACTGAAACTGCGATATTGTGGAATAGGAATTGCTGCTGCCGGTGTATCGCTGCTGGCGAGGTGTTGGTGTTCACTGACGGTAAAGAGCCTACATTTCTGGTAACGACATAGCCCTTACCTGGTTGTTTATCGTATGACTTTGGCTCTATCGCAAACTTCGTATGCCCTTCGTGCTGTGACATGCATTTGCGTGACCACCCCTCACATACTTCCTCCGCGTCATTAAAATTGTCGCTTGCCAGAGCAATTTTTCGAATTTATTTTGTCCACTCGAAGGGCAAAGAAATCAGCTAGAAGTTGAGGCAGAGCATTGTCGACGGACCAAGCTTTAGTTTGGGGCCCACCGCTTTGCTGCACTTGCAGCTAAGGTCGACGCCTTCATCAGAGTTTGAGGCAGACCCTTCAGAACTGAACAATACGCTGAACAAGACGCGCGTTCAAATTCAGGCCAAGAAACTTTGTTTTTAAGCGATCCATGCCTCCAAGTGGCAGGCGATGAAGGCAAGCTAGCATTTTGCAAGTACACTGTAACGACCTTCTAGCGGGATAGGGTAAGCAGTTCCGCACCTTCTTTCCTTGGCAAACGCTTCGCTAATTTTGTTGGTGTTTTCAGACCTGCTACCTTCACAGCAACATGCGCCACAAGTAGCGCATTTTAGGAATTTGAGACCACTTTCTTTCTTGCCATCGTCAACTTTAGCATTTCGTATTCAGGAGAGATACCAGCATTCTTCTACCCGAGCTTGCAGTCTTGATAAATGCCCATGCGAACGATGTGGGACGGCACGAACTCCAGAAAACGAAATGCGCTCTGGGGCGGAATAGTGCGGAGTGCGATGAATTTGCTTGGTGCGGAAGAGAGCCGAAGTCTGAGACCACCACAGCTTCAGTGACAAGTAGACATTGCGCAGGAAGGGTCGCACCAGTGTTCGAACTCAGAAAACAGCGTTTCCGACAGTCTGACTAAGACGAGCCAAGTCACAAATATTGTGATGTGCGAAGCGACAATTTTAATGACGAGGAGGATGTACTTTGAGCTAAACAGGCATCATTCACTGATGAGACCTTTTATGCCCGACACAGCTCTGTATAGACCAGGTTATGCTTGTCAGCATATGCAACATGGAGTCATGTTTCTAATGTGATGAATTTGTCTAGAGAAAATAGAAAAAAGCAAGCCCAAGAGCAGCATCTTACTTACTGCCTGGCCACCAGCCTTCAGCTGGTGAATTGGGGAAATTTGGACTGTTCACTCAATTGTAATGCCTTACCGTTTAATAAAATTTATGGTTAGGGTTATGATTGTATTCGGGGAAAAATGAATATGCTTTGCAAATAGTGTTCTTGCAATCTCTCTTTTTGGATTTACAGATATAGATGAATGCGCAACATCATACGGTAGCATTTGCAATCGAACAGATACATGTTCCAACACCAATGGGTCCTTTGTGTGTTACGATAATAATTCCAAATGGTTAAATGGCCTGCGTTCACGTAAGTGTCTAGAACGTTCATACTTAAAGCAAGCAGTTGAGAAATGAGAATAATTTGGTCATGGAAGGAAACAACCTCTTATTCCGTCCAAATGTTATTTTTGACGAATAGATAAAGCTTCCAGTAAGATTTAAACTCGGATAATGAGCCAGTAATAAATGTAAAAAAGAGAAGATACACATGACAACGAGTTATCCAGCAACTTTCCACGACTGTAACAAGATGATAAGTGAACTTTCCAAGTTGGAAGGCTGTTGGTTTGCACACTGGAGATGTGTTAGAGCTAGGTCTCGGGTCGCTGAATGTCTCAGTAGCCTGTCATTTGTGTGCCCTATTATCGCACTTTCTGACCGTTTATCATCTTGTTACAGCCGTGGAAAGTTGCTGCATAACTCGTTTTCATGTGTATCTTCTCTTTTTTACTTCCAGTAAGAAGTCATTTTTCTTTTCTTCTTCTATAAAAAATCGTGTTAATACCAGTTTTATTCCCGTAGCTATGCAGAAGAAGTCTCTTCAGTAACGTCTGGCGCTAGCGAGGTTCCACACAGCTTTAGTTTCGTGTTTGTTTGTGTCATGCCGTATCAGTCCCGCACCGTACCATCAAAAGAATGAGTATGTAGAGTGGCATTATCTATAGCGTCAAAGTGGTCAGCACCAAAAAATGAGAAACTCTAGACGCCTGGCATATATGTATGCGAAGTGTATCGCGGGAATGCATGCAGGGCGAAAGTGCAGTATTGCTAGCCAGGGTCCACAATAACGTCCTCCGTTAACAAGAACTTCGTGATGGGTTTTGATGGATACGAAAACGTTTACAACAGGTCAAGAACAGTTTGTATCGACTGCAAACCACTGGACGAAGGTAGTTCAGCTCATGTACAGCGTCTTTACAAGAGAAACTTTTGGCAGAATGAGGAGAGAGTTCAGTTTGCGTCGCTTTCGCTCGACTAAAGCATGGCGTAGGGCCCTGAGCTTCCAAGCTCTCTCGTACCGGGCTTTATACTGAATAGAACTCTTCAGCTCACGATATTGTTTTAGTGGGTGCTGGTGTGAAGGGTGAATTGATATATACAGTCGACCTACCCTTATAACAATAACCTCTATAATGATATTACCCTTATAACGATATTTTTATGCCAAACCAAACCACTCCATTGACTTGTGTATACAATGCCTTACCTCTATAACAATATTGCTATAATGATATTACCCCTATAACGATATAAAATGGGCTGACCAATCGACATTTTCCATTTTATAACAATATCTAGCACGGAATATGTAGAGCCTACTATCCAGGTAGGGCAAGCTTCACTTGATAAGTCGTAGGGACAAGACGAAATGCAATGGGGCACCAGTGGGCACCTTGCTGTGCACATAATGTGCATGTATGTCAGTTTTTATGCTATGGAGAGTGTAAAAAATGAACAAAATCCATGCATTATGACGTATGTGTATGAAATGAACCAGTTACCCCTATAACAATATCACCCTTATAACAATATTTCTTGGTGTTTGAATTCTTTTATTCTCACGATGGCCTGTGGCCAATAAGAGAAAAATAATTACAGGCACGGGGATCAGATACAGAGAGATCAAAGTTTAGCTGCTTGCTGAGGCAGTAGCGATGGCAATACTAATTGGGAGTTAATCAAGTAGGCTGTGGCGCAATGGAGCTATAGATGTGCTGAGCAATGCGAGCAAGTACATACGGAAGAGATGACAAGTGGTAGGATGTTTGCTTTGAAATCTCGTCTGGGGTTGATTTGCCGGATGCTGGGTGGGATGCTATTAAAGAGATCAAGAGAAGCATAGATGGGGGAGTCTCTTAGCCGGTTTGTACGTGTTGTGGGTAGCTCAAAGGTTCGGGGGGACCTGAGCGTGCGAATGGGTTGTATTCGGGGTAGGTGAATTGCAAGAAGGTGTGGTGGTGCATATCTATGATGCAGGCTATGTGCAAGAAGGATATGGGGGAGGGTACGGCGGCTGCTGACTGATGGCCATTTGAGTCGGTGCAGCAGCACGGAGTGGGTTCTGTGTTCAAAGAGGGGGAGATGCAAACAGAGGCGAGCAGCGCCGTTGGATGCGCTCAAGCCGGTCGTTCAGGGTTGCGGGGGGGGGGGGGGGGGAGAGGACAGTGCAAGCATACTCAAGAATAGGGCGGATGTAGGTTAGATAGATGGAGGAGAGAGCAGAAGTGTTTAAGGAATTGCGTAGTCGCAGGAGAAGGAACATCTTCCTGGTCGCTTTAGTGATGATGTAGTCAACATGCGAGTTCCAGCATAGATTCTGCTGTATGAGGAGGCCAAGGTGGCGATGCCTTGAGGCCACAGTGAGGTTGGTATCGTTGAGTGTGATTGATGGTGGTCTGGGAGGTGGCCGGTTGGTGTGGTGAAAGTGGATGACAGTGGTCTTACTTTCGTTCACCAGGAGATGCCAATCCTTCAGCCACTGTGCCGCGGTTGTCACAGCTGACTGGAGGCGCTCTTCTGCGGCTAGAAAATTCTCGTGAGCGGCAATGATGGCAGTGTCGTCGGCAAACTGGCTGCACTCAGTGTTGGCATTTATGCAGGCGGTTGGCAGATCAACTGTGTAGGCCGTGAACAAAAGCGGCCCCAAGGGAAAGCCTTGGGGGACCCCCGCTGGAATGTTTAGCCATGTTGATTTGCTGCTCTCCACTTGCACACGTTGTCGTCTATTGGTGAGATAGGAGGCAAGCCACTGGAGGCATTTGCCATCGAGTCCGAGGTAGGCCAATTTTGCAAGCAGTCCTTGGTGCCACACCCGGTCAAACGCCTTAGATAGGTCGAAGAAGCAAGCAATTACTGTTTGCCCGGCGTCTCCTTTCTCGGTGATCTGATGGATTAAGGTGGCTCCTACCCCTCGGGTCCAATTTTTTTTGTTTGAAACGTGGCTACAAACGATTGTACTTTGTTCCGTTGGATATCTAGTGTACGGAGACAAATTTTTATCAAGTTCTACCGGCCGGTTTCACTCGGGGGAGGGGCCAAACATAGCATACTCACAATTGCCAATTTAGGCCAAAAAATACCGGAAAACCACTTTTTTGGCCGTAGCACTGGTAGTTACCACCTTTTTCTTGATGTCCAACATCAGGACAGTAGTATACTTGCTAAATATCAGCACAAGCTGTAGAAGTGGGTAGAATTCTGCTAGGAGGTGACCTTTTTCTCTTTTCGGAATCATCCCATTTCAGCGCACACGTCCCACATATTAGCCCCGCCCACAAGTATTTGACACTGGACTTGCCCTGTATTCGATGGTTATGCTATCATAACCTAATAATGGTACTGTGTAGCAAGTTTGAGCAGGTTCTAGCGAAGGTAACTCGTGAAATAAAACTTTGAAGTTTCAAGTGATGCCATATTTCAAGAATCAGCACATTGCACTGAGACATTGTCCAACGCCTTAGAACCCCTGACTCCACCATATGACAGATACGTGTCTTACAATAATTGATTGCAACATCTTCCGAACATAGTAGTAGAGCTTTGGATCAAGTTTTAGCAGTTTCCACCGAAGCTAACCACCAAAATAGAACTTTGAAGTCGCCCACATACTAAATGCCATAGCTGAGCATGTGCATTGAGTGTATGGTCTAAAGGTTTTCACTACTAGCTCCAATGCGGAAGATACGTGTCTTACATTACTTGATTGCAACATCTTCAGAACATAGTAGTAGAGCTTTGGATCAAGTTTAGACAGTTTCTACCGAAGCAAACTACCAAAATAGAACTTTGAAGTCGCCCACATACTAAATGCCATACATGTAGCTGAGCATGTGTATTGAGTGTACATGTATGCTCTAGAGTTTTTCACAACTTTCTCCAACATGAAGCCGATAGTGATGTGGAATTTGTTGACTGCTTTGTCCAAAACATAGTGCTGAAGCAATGCACATTGGGCATTTTCTACTGGTAATGTAATTATTATTATTATACAGTGTTTGCTGCCAACATAGCAAGAAATACTTTTCTTTTCTCACTCACACGTCAGTACTGCACACATACTCACACACACACTCTCTCTCTCTCTCACATACACACACACACACACACTCACACACACTCATCACAGAATAACAACTGCGGGGGGACAGCCACAGCAAGGCGGGGGGACAGCCACAGCAAGGCTGGTTGCACTCTTGTGTCCAGAACACAGACAGAAAAACGTCCAGCGAAAACAACACCTCATAGAGTGACAGCATTGTGCGAGGTGAATCATACAGAAAAGCACAGCAATCGACAGAGCATCCGCACATTCCACCCTCGCACAACTTATAACCTGTATTGTAGCAGCAATATTGAGAAATCTATCAGAGAGAGAGAGTAACGCAGCGCTCTCACAATCATGATCTGTGTGTGAAAACCGTACAAAGCTCCTCATTGGGAGGGAGGGTGGGAAACCAGCTTGCAAAGCAAGAAAACAAAAGATGAGGGACTGCGGCGTACCAGTACGCCCAAAACTGTTGGACCTCGGTCCCAGACCTGTTCGTTCGAAAAGAACAACATTTCTTGTTTATTTCGTAAAACTCAGCCAACAAGAAATGAAAACCTATACTAAATGCGTATTCCACGGGGTACGGTCCGATGGCTTTTTACTTCACATCTAGCCACTGTTCTTCGTGCATTACTTGAATGCTTAGTCTCCGTGGTAATGAAGCTAAGAGCCACACTGGAGAAGTTTCTACTGAAGCTACCTATCAAAAATATAAAATTTCCAAGATGCTACTATCACATCAAGTAGCTGTGTTCAATGTCACTCTGTTGAACACAGTAAGCAAAATCGAGTCACTAAAACCCTATTTGCCAGATACAAGCTGTTGAGACTGGTAGCAGCTGTATGATCTGATATGGATGGCGGTTCCACACTGACCAGCACATGTACACGCGCACAGGCAGAAGAACACACAAGTAATACACCTCACGTTATTTCGAAGTACACTGTGTACATCATGTAAATACAAGCGTATATACAAG